AGGCCTATCGAGCGCTTAATTGCTAAGTAGCTCGTTAACTAGAAACAATGAAAGTTGTATAGGTTGGCGAAACCTCGTCCTGAACCTGTTGAACATATTGCCACTTATAAGCTTTTGTAGGAGTTTAGTGCTGAGTTTAATCGACGGTTATGACTGAACAAGCGGCTTGCTTTGAGTATACTACAGACAGGGTGCTTTGATGTGCTATTTACGACGAATTACTTTCCTGGAGTTGGAGTTTATTCATTTAATGGAGCTGAATCAGGATGCCTCTTGGTAGAGTGCAAATACAGCAGCTTCCAAGAAGTTTTGAACAGCAGTTGACCTCTATTAGTCCGGTCAATAAATGACGTCTCACTGCCCAGAACAAAATCAGCTGAGATGTTCTTGCCAAGGTCGGAAGAATTAGTCAAGTGTTGACAGTATACAAATTTGTCAGGGTCAAGTAGCCCACTGTGGTTGAAACTATATAATTTTCTCTTTTGGTAATATATGAACTATGACGATTCACATGTATTATTTGGCAAATAGGTAGCCCATCGCATCAGCTCTCATGTTCTTGAAGATTTAGTAAGTGTGTAATTTTAGCATAGTTGTCATATCTCCGATGGGTAAAATGCTGACGGGTGCTAGGCACAACACCCTGGTTTCAGCTGCCTTTCTTGCTAGTCTGCCAGCTATAATATTATCCTTGGAATGTAAATGACCCTTCATCAAACTGGTAATAGTGCTACTATTAGTGGAGGCACGCATAAATGCCAAATATCAGTCTATTACTGTTCTCGTTGTATGATTGTAACACTTGGTGGTAAGTATTAATTTCTACTGCCCGTGCAAATCCTGATATTTCTTCCTGTAACATTTCTGTGGGCACTTTTGTCCGTAGACTACTTTCAATTAATATGTACGCTTCTAGAGCATACTCCGCAGCCATCTTTATGATGTTTCTTAGTTCTGTCAGTGAAGATATAAATACATCCGACGGTCTGGTTTTCAGAAGCTCTGATAACAGCATGGAGTCGTTCAAAGATGTGCGACATCCTATGTTTCGCTTACTTTTTCGCACCGACGACGGGCGATTAGAAATTCTCTTCTATCGCTCCGTCAACGGATTTTTCTCCTTAGAGCTCTCTTCCATAATGACTCCGAGCATTGAGCCTGCCAAATGCACGCGCCAGGCTTCTGCCTCCCATCCTAACTCTGTTGAACTTAATACCTCCAGAACTATCCGATATTGTGATTCTGGAACAATCTTCCAGTGGAGATTTTTCCCAGTTCTGCTAACCTTGACAGTTCAAAATTCTTCAAGAACCTCTTCAAGCTCCAACTCGATTTTTGGGATTCTGCCGACGCTACCGCATATATATATATATATATATATATATATAATTCAAACAATTAGGACTCTATACTTTATTAGTCTCTAGTTTTCAATGGACTTTGCCATCATCATCAGGAGCTGCAATAACATTAAGAAGAATTAGCATCTATTGTGCTGAATGATTTTAAATTACTTACAATAGTAAGTATGTGAGTTTGCTGCTAAATGATATTAAAGGTTAAGTTGAGGGAAACATTTAGTAACCTGGTGAAAGCTGGATACGTGGTACATTCGTTAAAATTAGTATAAAATACACGCAGATGTAGGTCAGGAACACATCAAATCGGATTAAAAATATTTGGAACGAAAGTTGAAATAATTACTTGTTACATCGTGAAACAACCTGATGCTGCAGAAAATGGTGTGGCACAGGATGATAGGTAGGATGAAACATTTGACAGATGACAGAAGGCTGGTGGTGTTAGTGTCGATGGATGGAACAAACATATGTAAAAATGTGTGCTATGTTGCCAAATCACTTCAGGTAGCGTGATTTATCAAGATATGTTAAATAAAAAACTTGTCAACAGACCAGAGGCAGTTGAACAAACTATATTTTTAATGAGATGGACAATTGAATTAAACAATTACTATTTTATTATGACAAAAAACAATTATTCAAATTTGAGCGGAATGGAATTTTGGAGGAAAAGACTGGAATAGACCAAAAAACCAGATTCCATTTAAGGTTGTGAAAAATCTAAATTTGGAGAGATGTGTAAGTGCTACAACTTTTCCCAGCATCTGTTTTCTTATTCATACACTTGTTATTCGTGAAAATGTGGGACATTTCCAAGAATAAACGTTTGGATAGATGTTTCTCTTTATCAAGAACTTTGATACTTGTGTAGTTCATAGAGTGCCCTGTTGTATTGTCATGAGATGCCAGAGCACATCTCTCGGGATGAAGCGTAGAATCACTTTTGTGTGATGTAGTCCTTCCTTTTAGATATCTGGAAGTCTGACCTACATATGTCTATTTGGTTGCAATTGTTACAATTGATGGAATAAACTGTGTTGGCTAAGCAAGCAACGGGACTCTGTCCTTCATCTTTGAAAAAATACAGTTTATAGTGAGGACGGATTTGCAAGCAATTCGACAGTTCAACGGGCTACATAGGCTGATCAGCTTAGGGGTCAGTTCCTTGATATAGGGTAGGACAGCAAAACCAGATCTGGAATTTGGGATGGCGGTTACATCGTTATTGGAATTGGTGTTGTATCAGTTCTATTGTTAGGAGTTGTGAAAATATTATTTGGATAACTAGTATTTAATAAAATACTGGAAAGAGAGCTGAACAAGATCTTGTTAATCAAACACTTCGGATAACTATTGTTGATGACCAGTTTTGATAGCTTCCGTAAATTTGGAATATGGAAAGTACTGTCGGAGATGCTAATTACCCTTGTTTTCATCTGCTTCATCAAGTTGATTTTAATCCTTAGTTTATGGCATGACTTGAAATTGAGAAAACGGCCTGAAGCCATGGATTTCTGGTACCAGTCTACCACCACCAGCCTTCTGTTATCTGTCAAATGTTTTATCCTACTTATGATCCCGTGCCACCCCGTTTTGTGCAGCATCAGGTTGTTTCACGATGAAACATGTAATAATTTTAACTTTTGTTCCAAATATCTTTAAACCGTTTTGATGTGTTCCTGACATACAAGCTCTGAATATTTTATACTAATTTTAACGAATGTACCATGTATCCAGCTTTCACCAAGTTACTAAGTGTTTCCCTCAACTTAACCTTTAATAATATTTAGCAACAATCTCACATACTATTGTAAGTAATTTAAAATCATTTTGCACAATAGTTGCTATTTCTTCTTAATGTTATTGCAGCTCCTGATGATGATGGAACAGTCCATTGAAAGCTAGAGACTAATAAAGTTTAAAGAGTCCTCATTGCTTGAATTCTGTCGAAGTACCCAACTAAATGCGGAAGCTTTATTTTTCACCTAACTGGTCTAGGCGACAATGACCACTTCCTAAGTTATATATATATATATATATATATATATATATATATCCCTACTTCGCGTGGTCACGCCATAACATAAGAACAACTTTATCAATTTCATTTATCTTTTTTTTAAAGTTTTCTAATGCTGTATAGTGAGATCTTGTTCAAACGCTATTTCATTTAAACTATGGAAATCCCTGAATGTAACAAATTTCTGTTGATTTTTAGGAAGTGCAATACGTATATCACAGAAGGTTAAATAGTGATCAGTAATCATATCAGCATTAATAGTGCCACTCCTAAGACAACTTTCAGGCTTGCTCAAATAAATAGGATCTAAGAGAGTGAGTGTCGATTCAGTTATCCTAGTCGGTTCAGATATCACCTGTTTCAGATTATAAGAATCGAGGCATTTAGTCAAGTTGTTACAAACTAAAAGCAAATTAACATTGATATCCCCTGCAAGGATGATATCATCATATTCAGCTAATATGGCAGGTAACATGTTATCAAAGGTATTACCGGCTTCTGTAACAGAGCTATGTGGGGGCCGATAGAATATACCAATAGCAATTTTTTGTTTTGGAAGCTGCACCTTCAACCATATATATTCAAGACTTGGGCCTTGCCCAAATGAAATTATGGAAGAGTTGTAGTGGTTGTTTACAAAGACTGCAACCCCACCACCTCGCCCATCTCTATCACAGCGATAGCAGTTGTATCCATTCATTCTTATATGGTCATTAGATATATCTTTTGATAGCCACGTTTCCGATATTCCAACAATATCAAGGTTGTTGTTTTGAACCAGTGTACTAAATTCATGAAATCCTGATAAAACTGATCTGCAGTTTATATGACCAAATTTTAAAACCTTGAATTTATCACTATTCATATTCAATTCTAGATTTCAAGTATGTAACATATTTTTTATAAGTTGGACAATCTAAGTCTTTAGAAGAATGACTAGTATCAAATTGAGTGTTGAATTTAGAATTGTGATTCATACAGTTTGAACAATTCTTAAAAGCAGATTTACAATTTTTTTTCCAAATGATCTCCAGCACATAAAGGACATGACACTTTAGAATGTATGCAATTTTTTTCCATGTGGCCAAAACCTGAACATTTATAGCAGCGTATAATTCGTACATAATCCCGCACAGGACAACTTTGCCAACCCATGTATATATGACCTCTATCTAGCAACGTTTTTCTAAATTTTGGGCTAACCTCAATGACAACATTTAAAGTAGATTCGGAACATCTGAAAGTGGTTAGTTTTTATATCATCACTACTGAAAATACCAAATTCATTCTGGGACAAGATCTTCTCGATTAATCCCTCAGATTTTGTGTAGGCGCATTCTACATTATTTATCACCATGCGTGGGCGATATTTCTTGATCTCATTGACAGTGAAGTTCGCACCGAGTTCTCCCTGTATAATCGCCATCAGCTTGGACAATGATGCTTCATTTTCGCAGCTAAGAATGATGCCATTATTCACCCTCCTCACAGAGTTCACACAGATATTTGACTTAGCTGGATCGATGCTCTTCTTCAAATCTTCCAACACATTAGAGTTTGATTTGTCCGTACTTTTTATCATCAACTTTTGTGTATTATTAATTTCATCTACAATCTTCTCATCTCTGCTTTTTTTTTGACTCTTTTACAGCTCCACTATATGATTTAATTACATCATTACAACGGGTGTATGAGGTAGTAGCTTCTATTTTTTCAACTCTTTCATTTATTTTCCCCAAAGAAGTGATTATGGTTTCTTTATCCACTATACTGCTAATGATCAATTCATAATGCTCCTGTAAACGTCTGTTCTCATTAACTAATTGATTGATATACCTCTCTTTATCTAAAATTATTTCATTCTTTGTTTCTAATAGCTTCTTCAGGTACTGTACTTCTTGCTCTATAGTAGTATTTGCATTATTCTTGGATAAATAAATTTCATCTTTATCTTCTTGTTGCTCTTCTTCATCCTTCTTTTTTCGTCTAGTCATATCGGATAAACACCCTATGTATAGGCCAGGTTGAAAGTTGATATATCTTGACAAAAATGTGACCTTTGTGACACAATTTCGGGAGAGGTTAAAGAAAAATGACCGAAAATGCTTGGTTCGTCCTCGGAAGAGCTGCTAACGTTTCTGTAAGTACTTACTGGTGTTATCTCTTGTATGGTTACTTCTCCAGAAGATTGGGTACGATGTTTCTCACACTTTGCCTATATACCAGGAGCAGGTATTTTTTTGATAGATAAGTTGACGACTAGGTCTAAGCTAATCAATGTTGCCTATAAACTCAAAATGCTTGCTAACATTCTTACAGAAAGTTATCTGCGAATCCTATACCATGCCTTAGTTGAAACCCATATAATATACGGCATCACAGCCTGGGGTGCCGCCTGCAAGACATATATTTCTGACCTGAATATAGCACAAAAAACTGTTTTGAAAGCCATTTTCCATAAGCCAAGATTATATCCAACGAACAACTTATATCAAGAAACAGGGATACTTGATACAAGACAACTTTATTTCTTACATGCCACCACCTTATACCATAAATATTGTAATAAAAAAAAATCCTATAAACACGAGCATAACACACGATTTCGAATAGGCTCATCTAATATCCAAAGACCACACAAAACAATATTCAAAAAATCATTTAAATTCTTAGCAGCTAAATTATATAATGTAGTACCAAACGAAATAAAGATACTTAATTTTGGAAAAAATTTAGAAGAAAATTGAAAGAGTAAGTAATATGCAGCGAATGACCATACATAATTATATAGAAAACTAAAACTACAAAATTCCAATTACATTAATACCTTTTAGATTTAACAATAAAATTGTTATACACATACATATATGATTGATTGTTAGCTATTAAGATATAAACCACACACAGGCGATGCCTTCTGTGGTTTTTTCATATTTATTTGCCGATTTTTTGTATTTTGGCGAATAAATATTATTATTATTATTATTATAATTATTATTATTATTATTATTATTATTATTATTATTATTATTATCATTGGACCAATGAACATTGTGAGTACACATTGCAAGTTTAAAAATGAAGCCCCTGGATTTTGTTGCTACAGTGGAAAGATCATTGGTACCACCACCTAAACATTTTTTGATTCATATCCAGCGATGCAATAATTGCATACAAATGACGGACGTCATCTGACACAACAAAATCCATGCCACACAATTTTATGCCTACTTTCATGGTATTTTGCTAGCCACATGGCGGTACAAACACTTCCCTATACAATTACCGATATTCCATGTATTTACCCTTTTATTATTTATCATTCATCCCAGCTCATAGCAAGACAACATATGTCGGGTCAGCTAGTAAAAATATAAAGCCGTCTATGTAGTTTTCAAAAGCTGTGGAAATAGCCATACGGTCGTACAAATATAAATATTGGAGGAGTGTTGTCTGTGTCAGCGTAAAAAAGTGACATGCCACTAATTGCCTTATTCCACAAGCGACTTCAACCTGTCCCACACCCTACGTTCACCTGTATACCATCCGATTTGATGCACATCATTGTTGCTAGAGCAACTTGTTCCAGATAAATGTATTGTCGTGGCAAGTTCATCATCATTGCTATTGCTTTTGTCGGTTTTGTTTGCATGTACACGGTGTTTGGTACATGGGCGATTGGAGACCATGTTTGATGATTTTTGATGGAAACCGCAATGGTCCAAGGGCTACGGTTACCGAGATAAGATCGTTTTTAATTTTTGCTGAATTACCTACAAGTGCGCATAAATATAGTTATAACTTTTTGACACAAGATAAACGTTAGTCTGTTCTGTAAAGTATACTCAATCAGAGTTCAAATCTTCTCAAACAAATGACTTGTGACCTTCCAAAGTCGTACAATCACGAGGAGTGTATAAATAATTTCAAATTCGAAATTCGATGATAAAAATTTTTTGAATCCTAGTTTTACTTACAAAACTTCTGTGATTTATTGCATTTCCAACGATATGCTACACATCATAGAAATAATATGTTGTGCGCTCAGAAAAAGAGAACAGTCGCTTAGGTTCAGGAGCAAAGAATTTCTTGTTTCAGTTTTCCATATCTTCATTTCATGAGAACAGGTTACAGCGTATTTTCGAAATGACTGGCTCCATTCCAAGGCGCAGCTCTTCTTTCATCAGTTGAAATCCTGCTTCTATCCTTTGGATTAACACCTCTTTGCTAGGCACCTCTGTCGCATACACTAATTCCTTCGCTCGCTTCCAGACGTAAAAGTTCAAAGATGTCAGGTCTGAAGACCGTGAAGGCGAAGGGCTAGGACCACCCCTACCTATTCAAGCTTTTTGAAATTAATTGTCCAAGAACTATCGAACGGGTTGCACATAATGTGCAGGGCAGGCGTCATCCTGGAATACAATGGGCGCATCGGTTAAAATTGCTAACAGCAAATCAGGCAACTCAGTCTGCAGACATTCCAGATAATTCTCTCCATTTTACCGGTTCGGCAAAAATACGGTCCTATCAGTGTTCATTTCTTGTCTGGGTTCTGGCCCCGGTCTGCCAATAATGGAGGTTGTGTAGATTTACGACTCCTTCGTGACCCAAGTTGGACTCATCCATCCTCTTTAAAAACTTTCCGACCTGGACAGAACTCCAGCCTTTTCGCACTATCACCATCTTCCAGATCTATAACATAATATATCAATGTTTAGTACAATTGCACAAATATCAAACTTGTTTAAATAAAATACTCCAAATAAAATAAAATTAAATCACCTTGAACAGGACAATAACGAAATGTATGCTTCATGTGGGCCTGTAAAACAGACCAGACTTCATATGCAGGCACAGCGTCTGCATCAAAGGCTCTTAGGATTTGATCATCTACAGTTACACTGTATTGTCGGCCACTCAATCTTGGCTCTTGAAACTTTAAGTTTCCAGTCCCTCTCAGCTGCCGATACGTTGTTGCGAAGGCCTCGTGATATGGTAACTGCCGATCAGGATATCGCTGCTGGTAAAGTCTTTGGGCTTTACGTAAATTATAATTAGCACTGCCATAAGCCAGCAACAGCATATTCCTCATTAGTGAAATTCGGCATTATGACGTGAATGAATCAGACACAACCACAACAGTTCAAACTTACAATAAAACGTGAAAACGCTAACATAAACCGAACTAACAACATCAGACGAAAATACAATTCTGATAGCAGAGAGAATCAAATCTCGAATGACCCTAATCTGGTAATGTACTCTTTTATCTATGATAGGGTAGTTATTTGAAAGCAACTAACAGGTAAGGTCAGCGATACCCCACATCAAAGTTGATTTGAAGATAATGATTTGCCTGTATTAGGTACCTATCAGGTATGGTAGGAGTTTATGAAAACTTGTAACAATTAGTTTTAAATCACTTCTCAGTAAAATTGTTTACTTTGTGCAAAATAGTAGAATTGTTGTAAACCTTTGACATTAATCCTTAATGCGTATTATGCTAGACAGGAGATGAAGTTAATCCAGGTATCGGATGTCATTAGATTCGAATCACCTTTCATGAGAGTATTCCTAACCTTATCTGTTCACTGCTCTGCACTCGCTAACATTATTGTACTCATCAAGTGGAGGTAGGCATTTCGAAGAATTTGTAACTGATTCAAATTAAATAGAAAAAGATCAGTAGCCTGACCAACTGTTTTATCTGTTTTGACTGCACAAGACATTATTTCTATGATGTGTAGCATATCGTTGGAAAGGCAATAAATCACAGAAGCTTCTTAAGTAAAACTAAGTTTCAAAAAAATATAGTTTTTTATAATCGAATTTCTAATTTGAAATTTTTTATACACTCCACGTGATTGACAACTTTCAAAAGTCATAAGTCATCTTTTTGAGAAGATTTGCATGAACTGTAACATTACAGAACGGACTCATGCTTATTTTGTATCATCATCTCTAGAAACAAAAAAGTTATAACGATATTTATGCGCAATTGTAGGTAATTCAGCAAAAAAAAGGAAAAATAGCATCCCCAATCGCCCAAAAACGTTTGTTAGTTCATGTACGAAACACCCTGTATATCACCAGTCATGTTCTATGTATCTGGCTTAGCTGTAGTTTTATGGTTTTTTGTTGTACAAGCTTTATACGTGACCTAGGAATTGGAGTAAAATTTCTTAACATTTTCTATTTCCAGGGGCGGATATATGTATTACCTGCAGTTGCACTTGAAAATCTAGAATATTCACTGATTTCCTAATTTTGCTTGATGGCCATTGCAAAAACTTTCCTGAATCTTGATTACTTGTGATACCAGTTGCCATCTGCTGCCTCGTTACCTAGTATACCAATCTGCCCAAGCACTTACAATAAAGTCCCATTTTTCACTGGAGCTAGAGTTTGGAGAGTTAATATTTCCGTGATGCTACGGGTTTAAATCCGTCTGCTTTCATGAGTCCGGACCTGGGCTCCATTAGAGGACGACAACTCACGCACAATTTCCGTTAGCCCCTGTACAACAGTAAATTAAGCTATATTTCACCAGCTTCCCCCCCTTTTCGAACCATATCAGGAGGTATACAGAGACTGTTTCATGGAACAACATTAATTCATAACTCTCCAGTAAACATAATTTGTTCATAATTATGTTAGTCGGGTCCGCTTCATAAAGGAGGACACACTACAAAAGCTACCCCTGTTACATCAACTGTATTAGTTTCATCGCTTAAAACAACCCTTTCTTCGCTCCCCAAAGGGTATTGTAGGCAGAATAATTCAGCCCTTATACGAATAAAATTTTATGAGTGAATATTGCTATAGAATTCTCGGGAAGGAGCACTCACATTTTGACGTAACTAATGTTTTTACAACAAAATGGTTTTTAAAAAGACCTTAAGCAGATTTTATAGGGATATACTGTAACTGTCATGTTAATATTAAGCCAGGTGTTGTAGGCAAGTGAGTTGTAAAACATAAAAAGCTTGAGGAA